ATAAAAAGCACCCAACAGTTTTAGCCTGTGGTTAGAAAAAATACAGATGGATAGTATCATTGAGTGTATCCATTAAATTATTATTAATTTCAGCTGAATGCATCATATATATGATTTTTCCGGCTATATTATAAGGAGCCACAATCTACTACCCACATGTTGACCCAACAAAACAGTTTGAGGGCTTTGAGTCAACCACGGTTAAGCCGGCTATGGCAATGGGTGTTGTGGGAATACAAGCCTATGGCTGCCAGAGGTTTCATAGCCTCAAAATGACGCTTTTGTGTGTGGGTGGAATGGCCAAATGTTCCCTTTCTTGGACAGTAGAATTCAATACCATATCACAAACTGCTCATAAACTCACAGTCCATTGTGGGGGGGGGGGGGGGGATCAAGTCTATTTTTTGTCTGCCACCAAAATTAAGGTGGAAGCATGGGGGGAAAAATGAGTTTTGCTAGTCAGTTATGTGAAAAACTACATTACTGATTCATTGGGAATCAAAAGACAGAAGATAAACGAAGTAAATTAATTAATCAACTCTGGATCCCTGGCAAGATTATTTGTTTTATCTTCCCGTGTCAACTGATCCAACTTCTGTTCCTAAATGGAAAATTTTCTGCTCCAACTGTTAAATCCAATCAGATTAAATTATTGAGTTTGATACACGTGCTCCCTCTCATTCTCTCCCTCCCTCTCACTTTCTCTCTCACCCTCCCCACTTCCCTCCCTCCCTCCCTCCCTCTCTCTTTCTCATGTATGTGTATCTGTGTTTGGCTTAAGGAAATTCCCACTTGTTCAGAATAGGAATTTTGTCCAATTGCAAATTGCAGGATGGGATGGGACTGTCTGTTTCCTGACTGGCCGAGGAAGGAGAAAATTTGGAGGGGGGGGTGGGGTTGTGTGCTTTAGCTTTCTTGACGAACTGGGGGGCTCGCTTCCCTCCAAGCTCACTGAAAAACAAACCCTTGATTTATTTATTTTTTAATTGTTCCTAATGACTACATGATTTCTGTGCCCTACCGAAGATCTACAATAAATGTAAACAAAAGCTTTCCCAATCCTGGACCACAAACAGACCTTTTTTTTATTAAAAGCAGAGCTCAACCTTGTTCCTTGTTCTCACTAGGAAAGGAGCCCTGCGACTTCTGCATGGTTGAGGCTGCAAAATCGACCTAAGCCATAAAATAATTCCTGGCACAGATATTTTTACAGATCTGCAGCTGTTTTTGGAAATATTTAAACCCAAGTAAGAAATCAAGCTGGAACACTGGTTTCCAAGTAACTCTTCCTACTAGGACATTTTCTAAACTATTATTTATGTTCAAGGAGGAACGAGATATTAATTTATGAGGGAGTTTGTCTCACCCAAGTTAGTGGGGCTTCCTTCTAAGTAAAGAAGATTGGCCTGCTCCATTATTCACCCCACACTTTACCCTTGCAAAAGAATCAACTCCTCTCTCTAGTTTTAACTAAAAAAAAAACACCTCAAGGTCTGCCAAAAGAATTGGAGCATGAAAGCTAGAAACTTGACCAATTACATTATTTTAAATAATATTTCAAGGTAGCGCCTTGCAGGGTGCAATGTAGGACTGAGCGAGTATGCAGCCGACTACACAGGGAGTTTCTGAGATAAAAGCGGAGCTTAAACTCAGTTTATTTATTTTCTTTTTAGTTATTTGATAAGGTAAAACTGTTCCCAGTCACACACCGCTGCCAAAGTGCTTTTTTTAAAAAGTAGCAATAGTAGTTTTTGCCTCCATTCCCATTTCTGTTTGGAAAAAGGTATTTCTATTTTCTAAAAAAAATCACGGTAGAAAGAATACAGTAGCACTTTTTTTTTCCCAAGTAGGAAATTTATATTTGTTGGTCCGAAAAGGTGCTAATGGATTTGTATCTGTTTTTTCTTTTAACCATCCTATTCTAAACATTGTAAGTGAAAATGTTACACACACCCACACTTATTCCATCTCCTTGACATTTCCAAGAGCCTCCTAGGCCCAAAGTGGATTTTTTATTTAAAAAAAAAAAAAATCGAACTCCAGGTCCTTTCACACCTCTTTAAAACCTCCTAGCCAATACATTGCTAAGATGGCGGAGAGGTCACGAAGCTTTAAGAAATTGAAGTTGCTGGTGGTCATTTCCTCCAGCAAAATATATATATTATATTAAGTTTCTCTCTCTTTCCCTCCTCAAATTTTCCCCCTTTAAGCAGTTCTGCTTGATTGGTGTCCTTTGTTAATAGGCTGGACAAAATCCGAAGATTGGTGGGATTAACAGATCGCTCCACTTAAACCAAGGCAGAGACCGACCACACCTCCATCCCGACGGACAGATGGGAAAGCGGGAGGGGGTGGCCGGGCTGGGGGCTACCTGGAATAATTGCCCCTCAGTAATGCAGAGACGTGATTTTAAATTCTTCCAACCCTCAGTAAAACTTCTCTCCCTTCCAACCGGGGCTTGCTTGTTTGTTCATGCCAGAAACCTCACAATTAAAATAACGCATATACTACACAGCATAAAATTGAACGTGTTAAAAAAAAAAAAAAAGCAAGATTAAGCTGTGTACAAATGAAATGGATCTTGCCCCAGAAAGTAACAACAGTAACCGCCTTCGGTATGGCTGCCACGAAATCCTCAAGCGCGCACCGATCGGGACACAAAAGGGCGGATGCACATAGGTGCTGTTGTCTGAGTGTCACCACCATCGCAAAAGGACAGGGGCCGCCGGGTAGCCCCATCTGTTGATCCAGCAGGGTCTCGGGATCTTCTTGTAGCCGCACGCAATCCACCCGTCCTTTTCCAATTTATAACTTCGCATAACTTCACCCGATTCCAACCGGGTAAACCAGCCCGACGGAGTTGGAGACCCTATTATTTTTTGCGCCTGGTTTTGACTTGCGGCCAGATAAGATTCCGCGCAAGGGACGCGAGGCCCACGAGCTTGGATTCTCCGCGTCTTACATCCGATTTAAGACGCGGAGAGATCCGTCTCTACGCACCCGGCCCTCCCCAAGGCGGCCCCGTTCGCAAACCGGCTTCCTTTCGACTTTGCGAACCCCTCCCCCACCCGCCGCGTTCCGCCGCGATCCTAAAGAGATTCGCAAAGCGAGCCTCGCGTGTTCCAGACGGGGCGAGGCGAGTTTTCAACGCCCCTTGTCTTTCTGAGGGTTTCGGGTTCCCCCACCCACGAGGAATTGAAAGGGGAGGGAATCAAAACCACGCTAAGGCTTCTAGCCTTTCTTTAGGCCTTGACTGTTTCGCATTTGGAAGGCCTGGTCAGTTTCAAAGCGCCCTTCTTACCATTTCAGCTGTATTGAGGTCTTACCTAGGTTGTATCTTCCCCCACCCGGAGATAAACTTAAAGCGGGGTGGAGGTGGGAGGGAAGGAAGGAAGGAAAACCGTGGAAAAGAAGACATTTCACTTTCTTAAAAACCAGCACTGATGTTCGCTGGCTCACCAATTCTTGGACCCTGTGAAGTTCCTGGTTGTTTCTCTCTCCGCTTAGAAATTGAGTGGATTCCCCCCCCACCCCACCCATAACGGTAGGACTCCTCCACCCACCCACTTTTAATCATCTTCTCTGGAAGTAGCCAACTTTGCAGGGACACAGGGGCTGATTCAATTAGTGTGGGGGAATCAGGAGAGTTTGAGGATGCTTTGGTTGGAAAGCGAGGAAAAAGTCACAACTCCATCCCAGTCCAACCAGCCAGGTTGCTAGAGGGAAAGAAAAGCCGTTTCTGTCTTACACCAGAGAGATCAAAAGGCCTCCAGATTTCTCAGCTTGGAGACTTGATCTCAGGAGAGGCAGCTTCGAAAGGCCAATCTCTACAGCTGTTTTTGAAGGAGGCTCTAAAAAAAAAAAAACAACCACCACCATCTGGAAAGGACTTGATTTGTGTGTGTGTGTGTGTGTGTCTGAATGCCACGCATTTAACAGCGCATTTGTAAAAACACCAGCTCGATTTCATGGGGAGGAAAATGAAATAAGCAAGTCGAAAAAACTTCATTTTAGCCATCAATTGCAGGGGAGATCAGCATCTTTAACGAGACAGGGTCGGGCACCCTTAATTGTGACTTTGCTTTAAATTGTGACTTTAAAAGGAGACTTTGATATTAGGAATATCATTTGTGCGATTAATGACATTTTGCTCTGTAAGCCAAGAAAAAAAAAAGGTGGGCGACAAAACTTAAGATGTTTTTGACGTTCTTGAAGCTTTTAAAATAGGTGCCCAAAGCAGAATGGCCCAGCCATCCAAAGCTCTGGCTGCCAGCTCAAAAAGGCCTATTTCAGGTGTGCCAACTGTGCTCCAGCGGCATTCATAAGACCCGCTTAACCAGGGAAAGAACTTGAGTAACCAACGGCATTCAGATGACACAATACATTTTGCTAACCTTAAATGTTTTTTTGGTTTTGTTTTGGGAAACTTCCTGTGTTGTGTGAATCCAGAAAACAAGTTAATCCTCCAAGTAGGAGGGGAAATGTTGGGAAAATGCAACATCATGTATTCCCAGCAAACTGTGTTTGTATGATGAACACAAAAATATGAAGCAGAATAGGGACATGACCAAGAATTTTTTTAAAGGATTTACACCATCATTTTATACCTACAGAGGTTATTCCACCACCAATAACCTCCTAATATATAAAATCAACTTAAGAAGATAAACCACTAATTTAAGCAGAAAACTGAAACTTGGTCAGGTCTTCTTACTATCTGCGATAGTGATTTCTGTTGTGTAGCTAATATTGGTTGTCTTTCCAGATAATTAAAATATAAGTTTCAATCCAATTGCTAAAGCCACTTGTTCCCATGTTTTAAAACTGTTCCTGTTTATTTAGACACCAAAACAAGGAAATCAAGGTGAAAAAATGAATTTGAGAATAATGAATGATTCATCCCCATGGCCTTCGTTTTGCATTATCTGGATAATAATCATAATAATAAACATCTGGCTGACTGTGTGACCAATCATAATAACAATGCTGGATAGATGCATAAAAATGCCAGCCATAATAATACTAGATAAGTGGATGAAAATACCATTATTATTAGTATTAGTATTAGTATCTCTTAGGTCTTTCCTTAGGACTTGAATTGTTAAGTTTTTACCAGTCCCAGACTGTGAATTGAATTGAAGATTAAATCTATAATAATAACAATAATAATAGTAACAGGAGCCCTTGGAGCAATATCCTAGATATACGGGAATTCTGAACTTATCAGACATGAATATTCTAATTTTGCAAAAAACAAAAACAAAACACCACTCTACTAGGAACTGTTTAGATACAGTATTCATCAGCTCTTAGGTTTTTGATTCAAACTTCAACTTGTTAAGTTTTTACCAGTCCCAGACTGTGAATCGAATTAAAGATTAAATAATAATAATAAAAAATACGGTAGGTAGATAAAAACGCCTCCCATAATGATAACAGTGCTAGATATAATCTAAACATCTGGCTGATTGTGAGACCAACCCAAATAATTATTTCTGTCCAAATTACATTTGCATACAAATTTAGGCTGCAGCAAATATTAAAACCAAATGGAAGCGTGTTGGGATTTTTAGTCTTTCTTTCTATCACGATCCCACAGCCGCGGATTTGGGCGAATTATCCTCCCGGGTCCACGGCTTCTAAGAAATATGGCAGCGAAACCCAGAGGAACAGCCACGCGTGGCGAGGCTCCGACCTCACCTTCGATAGGAGGGAAAAAGAGACGGTTACATTTCTCTCCCTCTCCCTCGATTTTAGCCCCTTAAATCAGAGGGAAGCGGGTCAGTTCTAAGGCGGACGAATGGGGGGGGGGGGGGGGGGGCAAAGGGGACTCTGCAATGCTAGATATTTGAGCTTTGCAGCGGCGGGTTCTCACGTTTCGGGGCGCCCTTTGCCGGATTTCTTCGTGGGGGAAAAAAACAGCGTTTAATTGAGCAATTTTGGGAAAGCGGGGAAATCCAGGAGGCTGCAGGCAGGGAGCTGAGAGCCCTTCCCTTCCTGGCGCCGCCGGGTTGACCCACACCTCAGCTGACTGGAGACCACCCTGCCGATCTCCCCTTCCCCCGGCGACCCTCTTCCTTCTCCCCTTCAGCTCCGTTTCTAAAGAGTCCCTTTTTCATTAGTGCCCTCGGAGACAGCCGTCCTTATAGGAAACCCCCCCGCCCCTTAACGCCACCCGCTCGCAGAGGCCTCACCTGCCTTTTTCTCGTGGGGGTATCACCCCCTCCTTCCCTCCCCACGAGGAAGAGAGTGCAATCTCTTTGGCCCGCGGCAGGAAAAAGGCAGGGAAGGGATCCACGCCAGCAATGCCGAAGGTTGTCCCGCGGCCAGCTCTTCCCTAAGCGGGGGGCACAATCCGGAATGGCTCGGGGCGCTTCTCGCCTTCCTTCTCCGGGCCTGTCGCTTCCCTGCGCGACCACCCGCCTCCCCTCTTCTTTTCTCCCCCCCCCCGACCTTCTCAAGCCGCCCGTTCGCCAGACACCCCCACCCACCCACCCACCTCCGGCTCTCTTTGCCTTCACCTCGGCGGCGAAAGCGCTCGCCCTTCGCCCGCTTGCCTCTCCACTTTCCCGGGGCCTTGAACCCGCTTCCCTCCCAACGCCCGCCCGTCCCCTGGCGTCTTACCTTGCAGTTCGGCGGGGTTGTGGCTGTTCTGGTGCAGGTAGGGCTGTTCCAACGAGTGCGTGGAGAGGCCGGACGAGAGCGGGTTGCCCGCCGGGTTGCAAGGCGAGAGGGGCTGCTGTTTGATGTAGGAGGCGCCGCCGTTCAAGCCGGGGGCGGGCGAGGGAGCCCAAGCCGAGGGGCCCGTGCCGGAGTAAACCGAGTGGGGCTCCATCACCCCTCCGCCAGGCAGCAGCGGAGAAGCGGGCACCGAGCCGTCGTGGTGGCCGTAGTCCCCTCCGGCCGAGCCGGCCCCGGCTCCGCCGCCGCCGCCGCCGCAGCTGCCCATGTAGGCGTGGTGGCCGCCGTTGGAAGGCAAGTGGGGCACGGAGTGGCCGGCGAGCCCCATGCCGTCCACGTTGACCATGCCCAGGGCGCCCCCGTCCAAGGGCAGGCTGCTGGGCGGGCAGGCGGGTCCCTGGAAGCCGTAGCTGTCGGGGAGGTGGTTGAAATTCAAGTTCATCATGCTGTACATGGGCTTCAAGGCCTGGCACTTCCGTCTGAAGCCGCGGGGTCGCCGTCGGAAGGAGCCCTCCTCGAACATGAACTCGCTGGCCGGGTCGATGGTCCAGTAGTGGCCCTTGCCCGGCCGGCCCAGCCCTTTGGGCAGCTTGATGAAACACTCGTTGAGCGAGAGGTTGTGGCGCACGGAGTTCTTCCAGCCCTGGTAGGAGCCGCGGAAGAAGGGGAAGCGCGCCTGCAGGAACTGGTAGATCTCGCTCAGGGTCAGCCGCTTGGACGGCGAGCTCTGGATGGCCATCACGATCAGCGCGATGTAGGAGTAGGGCGGCTTCTCCGGGCGGCGGATGCCCGCGTTGCTCTTCTTGGTCTTGGGGCCGCCGCCGCCTCCTCCCCCTCCGCCGCCGCCTCCTCCGCCGCCGCCTCCGCTGCTGCTGGGCGTCGAGGAACTGGTGGACGAGGCGGCCTCCATGGCGGCGGCTGGTCCGAGCGACGGCTGGGGCTTGTCGGAGGCGGCGGACATAGCAAGCGCCCCGGCCTCGGGCAGCGGCGGCAGCGGCGGCGGCGGCAGCGGGCGAGAGGCAGGAGCGCGCAGCAGCAGCCCTGCGGTCATCGACGGCTACCGAGCGCCCCCACCCCTCCCTAAGGACAGGCTCCGGGGCGGGGAGGGAGGGGGACGGGCCTCCCCAGGCTCGCGGGCGCGAGGGCGCGCCCCCGGCTCGCTCCTCCGCGCGCTCGACCGCCCGCCTTCCGCCGCCGAGGCCCTGCGATCCGCGGGGCGCCTCTTCTCCAAGCGCCGGTTGCGGCGGGCGGCTACCTCGGAGGAACCCCGGAAAAGCAGGAGCAGTGACGCGAAGGCGCGCCCCTCTTGGCAAGGAAGGGGCCCAACTCCCGCCCCGACTCCGGGATTTATTCCCTAGGATCCAAACTAGGAACGGTTGCGCGGATCTTGCTGCTTTTCGGCGCAAAATCTCTTTTCTTTCTTTCTTTCTTTCTTTCTTTCTTTCTTTCTTTCTTTCTTTCTTTCTTTCTTTCTTTCTTTCCTTCCTCCT